AACAAAAATGAACAATTTGGGAGGACGAGATTACGATTATTCCAGTCTTGCGGCTCATTTTTCAAGTTGTCGACGATAACAACGAGCCGCGAGGCTCGAACAATCGTATCTCCTCTTCAATTAGGGAGAATTTACTGTATTATAATACTGGTAGTTACGGTAAAGTCTCCCTAATTGACGCTCAGCTTGTACACGAAAATGGACATTTTGGGAAGAGGAGATGCGATTATTTGGCTCGTTCTTACAGTTACCGATTATCAACGATTATATAAACAAGGTGCAAAGCCGGAATATAATCGTACCTGCTCTTACCAAATTATCCATTTTAGTGGACAATCTGAGCGTCAGTAAGGGAGACATTACTGTACTGGGAGTGAAACACTCTTTAATTACGCATAACTGGAATTTATGCTATTATAAGCTGAAATGTCCTAAATAAGTATGAAATGTCCGATTTGAGACCGAAAGTTTGGTTCATTATATCTCGGCCAAGAAGTAATATAATTAATTAAAATACGCGCCTAAATTATCAATCCCTTCTCAATGCAATAAACAAAAAGAAAAAATAAAGTGAAATATCGGAGATATCGGATATCAAGCTTGACGTTTTAGGCAATCGGACATTTTATACTTAATGACCTAATCTCTATGACCTAATCTTAATGACCTAATATCTACCAATGTAAAAATATAGTTGAGCGAAGTACCCTAATTCGTATAAAAAGTGTTATCGTTTTGAAACAGACATTTTTAGGGGATCGGTTGGAGGCATTTCTTGCACTGTTCAATTACAGTCACCTTCTTCCACCTACGCACGGTATAAAAGCCATTCTTTAACGCTGCGCAGTTGGATTTTAGATACTTTCTATCGCTACGAAAATATAATCGTGCAAAGTTAATTTCGACGGGATTTTGGCGATTATTATTTGATTGCGGACGACTCTATACCGGGTGTCCCGAAAAAGTCTCGCAATCCCGAAATGGGAGGTTCCTGAGGTCATTTGAAGCAACTTTTTCCTTTGCGAAAATTTTCTCCGAGGCTTCGTTCACGAGTTATCAACGAAAAACACTGACCAATAAGAGACGAGCTCAGCTGGCGTGCGGCGGACGAGCCAATGAACGCAACTCGGCTTCGCGCGCTCGTTGGCTCGGCCCGCCTAGCGTCAGACGAGCTCGATCCTCATTGGTCATTGCGTTTTCGTTAATAACTCGTTAACGGTGCCTCGGAGAAAAATTTTGTAAAAGAGAAAGTTGCTTCAAATGACCTCAGGAATTCTCTACTTTCGGCTTGCGAAACATTTTTGGGACACTCTGTATAAAATGAAACTTTTCTCCGTTGGTTGCACGATGTAGAAACTACACGGGCAAACTACATTTTTGAAATAATTTCAGCGAAAATCTATAATATATAATAATAATAGTAATTATATAATATTAATAATAATAATAATAATAATAGTAATAATAACAGTAATAATAATATATAATATTATCGACAGTAATGCGATAATATTTTCGAAAACGACGATATCTAAAACCCCATCATCCAGATATTTTTTAATTCTTATTTTGATCGATTCGGCGTTGAAAATATGCTCGCTAGATGGCAAAAGGCATCCTTCTTAATAACAATGGTGACTGTATCATTGATGGAAAATAAAATTAATAAATAATAATAATATAATAATAAAATTAATAAATAATAATAAATAATGAAATAATAATAAAATTAATCTGTTTGAATTTAAAAAGAGAACGTTACTTTCCGGTTGCCCTAATAATCACAGAAAATCCGCGATACAATTCATTATCGGCGAGAGGCGATTAAATACGGAAGTCTGGAATGCGAGAAAGGGACGACGGAACCGGGACGGGGATGAAAAAGCAGCCCATCAGCCGGTAGGCATTAGGCTCGCGTTCCGCGTCGAGAAACGGAACGTGAAAATTGCGTGATAAAGCCGGGCGTAAATAAAGCGGGAACAGCGACGAGAGAGGGGAGAAGAGAGAGAGAGAGAGAGAGAGAGAGAGAGAGAGAGAGAGAGAGAGAGAGAGAGAGAGAGGGAGAGGGGAGGGGAGGGAAGACGAATCGGTCGCGCGCGCGCGCGCGGCTTCACGGGCCAGATAGAACGGGGGGAAGAAGCCTTTAAAAATAGTTGGTACTCTAGGTCACGAAGCCGAGAGCATTCGGGATGATATCCCAGCCCCGAATCTGCAGAATTAACGTTTCTCCCCTGAAAGAGACACTTGTGACACATCGATGACTCGCCGCCCTCTCTTCCGCCCTCCACCCCCCCCCCCTTTATCTCTCTCGCTCTTTCATCTCTCGCGGGCCAAGTGGATGATGCCCTTGCGGCTCACGAGGAACGCGCACTCGACCATTATACCCACGCCGCCGCATTCTACTGGGCCACCTTTTTCGACCGAGCTCCGCTCCGCGTGCGTGTCACCGGCGAGCCGCGTCCGTCCGCTCCTCAGTCGTCTTCCACGAAGATACATTCTGCCACAAAAATACTCCAGGATTCATTGAAGAACACCGCCATCCTCGAACGCTTGTAAAACTTCGGCTGCTTCGATGCGTCCACGTGATTCCGCAGTCTGCGCGCGCAGCGGCACCCAAAACTGTTCTTGCATTGTGTTCTTGCGTTGTGTTCTATCAAAACACAACGACTCTTTTAAAATTGCATCAAATTGTTTAAACTAACAAATGAGCTACCGAGATTCATAAAATGAAATTTTCTGAATTTATGGGAGCAGATGAAGAAGTTGGAAAGCGTGATCTTTTTTTATTCTTTTTCTTGACATTCCAAGTATTTGGCGTATTTGGTTCGTAATTAATAATATATTAAATACGTAATTAATATAAATATTAAATATAATAATAAAATAATAATAAATATAAATAATATAAATATTGAATATATAAATATTGAACGGTTTCTTTTTGAACACCCCGTATATGAATTTTTCCGTAATTACATTAATATATATCATTAATATATATCATTAATATAATATATATTAATATATACCTGTTTAAAGTTGCAGTCGCCGCTGCCATCATAATCCGGTTAAGGGTTAATTGATTTCACAATTTGTACGTAACATGTGCAATCTGTCACGAGAACGTATGTTGCATAATTCAATGGTTTACAGTGCAGTATATTAGCGGTGCAATTAATCATCCAATAAGAATTAGTTTGCCATGCCAGTAGGGAAGTTAATAGAACGAAAATCTTAAGACAGCCGATTCGTTCGATGAACAATGCATTTATATTTAAGTTTGTATTCCTCGAAATTGCAGATATGAATTTTCTTTAAACTTTCTAATAATATTTTTCGATTTTCTATTCTTAATTCCTCAACGAAGGCATACGTACGAAACACGGACCTGTATTTTTCATACATTCGTACGAAAAAATAACGTAAAATAATGTTAATAACGTTGACATTATGACATTCATTTTATAACCTAACCTTATAATATAATATTATATATTAATGTAATATTGTATAATGTATATGCGCATATACATTATAACAATTATACAATATAATGTAATATTATAAGGTTAGATAATTATAATTTTATAACCTCGTATGAATGCAGTTTGCTTGAAAACAATTTAAGAGTTCGTTCCATTGAATTCAGACGAAAGATTTGATATGAACTCATCGTATAACCTAATACATCAATAAAAAGTTATAAGATAATATTCTTTATCGTACGGTATAATTGCAATAAATTATTTTGATCACAACTAGGTTTCCTTATATGACCTTGTAACCTAACCTTATTATCGTATGAATGTAGTTTGCTTGAAAACAATTCAAGAGTTCGTTCCATTGAATTCAGACGAAAGATTTGATACGAACTCATCGTATAACCTAATACATCAATAAAAAGTTATAAGATAATATTCTTTTTCGTACAGTATAATTGCAATAAATTATTTTGATCACAACTAGGTTTCCTTGTACGACCCCAGCGTTGAGAAGTTCAATTAAATAAACGTCAGTCGACTTCTCCAGAATTTTCGGAGACATTCTCGCGTGACATAACCTGATCTGAAGAATCCGAATGCCATTTCATTGTTAATCCAGCAGAGACAAATAAAAGAGAAGCTGTAGATCTATACTGGTCCTGATTCAGCATTCAACGAAAAGACAAAATTCTTGCTAGGATTTGGTCCTTCCGAACGAAAATTACCGGAGATACTTCTCCCCGCGGAAAGTTTGCCGTAGAAAAGGGTTAAAAGCTTAAATCGGAAAAGTTTGTTTGTTTCTGGGAGTCGAACGAAGAGCGGCGTTCGCAGCCGAGTTCGGCCGGTTCGGAAAGAACGAAGGAATTCCGAGTGGTTAACGTGGGTAAAGAGTTAAAGGATCCGCGGAATTTCCAAAGCTGGCACGAACGGGAGTCGAAGAAAGATTCAAGCTGCTAGATATTACTGGCATTATTCGGGCTGCAATCGATCCGGCTTGGTCCTCGGGGCGCTTCCGTTGCGCATCTCGGTGCTCGAACGATGCTTTCCTTTTTTTCGACCCTTACTCGCCTGAGCGGATATTGGCCGAGGCGGATAAATGGCCGCCTTTACTACGCCGATCAAAAGCAGACCGCGCTAGCGAAGCCCGCGATTCCTTTTTTCTCTTTCGGTGAACGCGTCTCCGGCGCGGAATACGTTGTTTTCGGGCGAGTCGATCGATCGGGAAATATGCCATACTCGCGATATCGCTCTCTGCCGCCGCCATGACAGAAATCGTATTTTCTTTGCTCGCGCTTCGCAATTATTCTTTCAGCGACCTCGCTTCGTAAGGTATTTGGCTTGGCAAGAAAGTAATGTCGGTTTGCACCAATAGATAGCGTTACGTTTGCATTGTCGTTCTTTTGTTAAGGTTATAATGCGGAATATTATTAACTTATATATAAAAATAATATTAAAGATCTTATATAAGATAATTATTAGGTCCAATGCAGGATAAATTGAGTTACCAAAAAAACCAAATTGAGTTTTAGTTGGGTTATAATTTTGTTCCTGTTGCAGATAGGAACAGATACAGGACAATTTAACACCGTTGATCGAACTTCTTTAGTTTGTCCTTCGCGGAAGTGCATCGGTGTAATTGTGGAATGGCGAAATAAATTTAAATTTGTCCCCTGAAAGCAAAACATTCAACAACACGTCGGATTTATCGAAAGTCACTTAATGGAATTTCTAATGAAACAGGCAATTCTAAATGAAGCGATTGGATCACGTTACCGTGAAGAAGTCCTTGATGAACGATCGGCATTTTTGTTAGCATTAAACAATTTCGTGGAACAATCCTTGGCTATGAATCCCAGATTTCCTCTCATGGCGCACAAATCTGAGCCATCGAAGCGCACGAAACAAAGTTTCCAAACCACGACGTATTTTGGCCAAATATAATAGAATCATTGCGACATGCTTTATACAATTAATTTATACGCTTTGAGTCGTTCCAGACTATCTCGAGTTAACGATCTTAACCTCGAAGTTAACGATCACGATGATCATCGAAATTACTTGTGTTCATCTATGCATTGGCTTGGCAAGAAAGTAATTTCGGTTTGCACCAATAGATAGCGTTACGGCAACCGTCTTCGTCGTTTATGCTTTCGGACATCTTTCTCTGTATTTTCGTCCCGATTCTCTCGCGCGATTACTCTTCACGAGTTCTCGCGCTGTCGCCCTTTATCACCGTTTAATACCTTCTTTCTGTTTATCTTTTGGGACCGGAGATCTTATCGGGTTGGCAAGAAAGTAATTTCGGTTTGCACCAATCGATAGCGTTATGCTTGCATTGTTGTTCTTTCGTTAAGGTTATAATGCGGAATATTATTAACTTATATATAAAAATAATATTAAAGATCTTATATAAGATAATTATTAGGTCCAATGCAGGATAAATTGAGTTACCAAAAAAACCAAATTGAGTTTTAGTTGGGTTATAATTTTGTTCCTGTTGCAGATAGGAACAGATACAGGACAATTTAACACCGTTGATCGAACTTCTTTAGTTTGTCCTTCGCGGAAGTGCATCGGTGTAATTGTGGAATGGCGAAATAAATTTAAATTTGTCCCCTGAAAGCAAAACATTCAACAACACGTCGGATTTATCGAAAGTCACTTAATGGAATTTCTAATGAAACAGGCAATTCTAAATGAAGCGATTGGATCACGTTACCGTGAAGAAGTCCTTGATGAACGATCGGCATTTTTGTTAGCATTAAACAATTTCGTGGAACAATCCTTGGCTATGAATCCCAGATTTCCTCTCATGGCGCACAAATCTGAGCCATCGAAGCGCACGAAACAAAGTTTCCAAACCACGACGTATTTTGGCCAAATATAATAGAATCATTGCGACATGCTTTATACAATTAATTTATACGCTTTGAGTCGTTCCAGACTATCTCGAGTTAACGATCTTAACCTCGAAGTTAACGATCACGATGATCATCGAAATTACTTGTGTTCATCTATGCATTGGCTTGGCAAGAAAGTAATTTCGGTTTGCACCAATAGATAGCGTTACGGCAACCGTCTTCGTCGTTTATGCTTTCGGACATCTTTCTCTGTATTTTCGTCCCGATTCTCTCGCGCGATTACTCTTCACGAGTTCTCGCGCTGTCGCCCTTTATCACCGTTTAATACCTTCTTTCTGTTTATCTTTTGGGACCGGAGATCTTATCGGGTTGGCAAGAAAGTAATTTCGGTTTGCACCAATCGATAGCGTTATGCTTGCATTGTTGTTCTTTCGTTAAGGTTATAATGCGGAATATTATTAACTTATATATAAAAATAATATTAAAGATCTTAATATAAGATAATATCATTATCTTATTTCTGATTCATTGTATTGGGATGGCAAGAAAGTAATTTCGGTTTGCACCAATAGATAACGTTATGCTTGCATTGTTGTTCTTTCGTTAAGGTTATAATGTGGAATATTATTAACTTATATATAAAAATTAAAGATCTTATATAAGATAATATTATTATCTTATTTCTGATTCATTGTATTGGGTTGGCAAGAAAGTAATTTCAGTTTGCACCAATAGATAGCATTATGCTTACATCGTCGTTCTTTCGTTAAGGTTATAATTTTCTTGTTTCCAGCTCTGGTAGTTGACCCTTTTAGGTTAATATAGAAACAAATACCGTGCAGTTTTGTTTACAACCGATAGTTTGCTGTCGATTTTAACACGGAGCGTAAAAATGAACATTTTCGACTAATCTTACTTTTTTATTTTCATAAAGGCAAGAGCCGTGGCTTCCAAAGAGATATGCGAAGTTTATGACGTCGATTGCTTAACAGAACGCTCGTGTCAGAATTGGTTCCGACAAAAAACAAACAATTGACAATCTGACAAACAATTTCGTTCTGAAGATTTTTCACTTACAGATAAGCAACGTTCAGGTCGACCTTCCGAAGTCGACGATGACAAAATCAAAGCCATAATTGAATCAAATCGTCGTATAACTATAGAGATCGTCCTACCAATCCGATAAAAGTATCTATTATGGAACGCTTTTCAGGAGGTATAAAGTTATCATCGATTCGCGAATACAACTTAAAAGTGTTATTGTTGAATATTTACACCACTGATCGATAGATCGATGTCTCGGATAACGTAACATATATTTAGTGTATCTATTTTATGCACTTATTAAGGTAACACCGTTACCGCATCATGTCCCCGCGTTCCATATTCGATTTACCTAATGTGGTACGAGCATTTCAAATGAAACACGATATTGATTATGAAACAACTGTCCAACTATTCCGTAAATCGGCACACAATACGGAACATTATGTTTTTGTTTTGAAACACCCGTATTCGAATGTATATACAGGGTGTCCCGAATATGTCTCGCAATCTGGAAATGGGAGGTTCCTGGGGTCATTTGAAGCAACTTTTTCCATTGCGAAAATTTTCTCCGAGGCACTGTGAACTATAAGCGCTTTTAATGGCAGGCAGCTTTAATGCTGGAGCTCGCAGAATAGCCTGCAAGCAATCACATAGTTCAATATTAGGTTGGTATAATCATACCTGTATGTTAATGCGAGGTAGTTGTTAATGAGTGGCTGCATATTGCAAACATTTATAACGGAGTCGACTATATGGAATTTCGAACAGCGGTAAGAATAATAGACTTTCTGAACAACAACAGATTTAGTCAAATTGTTAAAGAAGGAAAGGCATTTTCATTTCACTTATATTATTTAAAATCAATCTAAATTACTTTGATTTTACTAAAAAAATTCTAAAATGATCTTATTTCATTGATGCAACATTTGAACTGTTTATTTTGAAAGTGGCATAAGTCACTTTGTTTTTAAGTCGAGATATTTAAGGGTTTGCGTTTTTTAATACGTTTAAAAATATGGATGCTAACTTTCGAGAAGATTTACTTGTATTTCTTATCTCAGAATACTGATATCTTTCTCAGTATATATATATACTGAGAAAGATATCAGTATTCTGAGATAACAAATACAAGTCAGCTGTACTCGATTCTTAGTGGTCACTGTATAGTGACTATACAGTCACTGTACGTCACTGTACGTCAGAGTACGGCTGACGCGAGGCGGCCCAGTCAACCGGCGCGCGAAGCCCGGTTCCGCTCATCGGCTCGGTCGCCTCGCGCCAGCCGAGCTGGCCTCTCATTGGTCAATATTTTTCGTTAATAACTCGTTAACGGTGCCTCGGAGAACATTTTTGTAAAGGAAAAAGTTGCTTTGAATGACCCGAGGAACCCGCAATTTTCGGATTGCGAGACATTTTAAAATATTTTGTCAAAGTAAACGATCGACAAGCAAAAATCGATTTTAATTAATCACTTCGAGCGTGATAATATTCAATTTCTCGCCACGCAGAAAATGGTGCCCATTGTGAAACGAGTCGAACAAAAGTTAATTCTCGGTGCAAACAGGTTAAGCGTAACTTCCATAACCTCGGAAAAATACTGGCAGACAAAGATTTACAACGGTGTCCTGAAATACTTCCAACGATTCAGTTCTCCGGTTCTTTCGATTTTACTTATTTCCCTACTGCACACGTGGTCCATTGTTCTCACAATCGCGGAAGATCCGCAGTCCGTTCGCGGCCATAAATATTCGCGGCGCTTCGTTTTTTTTTTAGGAAAGTTGTACACGATTTTTACGACGCAGTGTCCGAATAATCGTCGGCCGGCGATTCCGAGGATTCCTGTCGCGATGCTTCCTGCAAATCCGGAAGAACGTCCATTCGATTAACGTCGATCGATATCGCGCTTCGAAACTCGAGAACCGGTGTCGACCCGCGGCAACGGACTATCCGGATAGAAAAGGAAACGACATTTCCTCGCGGCTAAAGTAATCCGTCGACGGAAGCGTGGCGAAACGGAAACCCAATGGAATTGCAATATCGAACATCGTCGCGCCGATCCTGCGTCGGCAAAGAATATTATCGCGCAGTCGATCCGCTCTCGGCGAACAATTTGGCCGGCGGCGCCTATCTCTCGTTGCTCTATTATCCGCTTTTCCTCATTCTCTCTTTCTCTCTCTTTCTCTCTCTCTCTATTTCCACCGCTCTCTTTCTTTCCCTCCCTCTCTCTTTCACCCTCTCTTTCTCACTCTCTCTTTCTCGCATTCTCTCTCTCTCTCTCTCTCGCCTCCTCTTTCCCCCTCTCTTTCTTTCGTTCGCTTTCTTTCACTCTAACCCTTTCTTTCTCTCGCTCTCTTCTTTCCCTCTCTCTCTTTCGCACTCTCTTCCCTCTTCCCCTCTCTCTTTCTCTCTCCCTCTCTTTTTTCTCTTTCTCTCTCGCTCTTTTCTCCTCTCTTTCTTTTGCTCTTTCTCTCTCCCTTTTCTCTCCCTCTTTCTCTCTCACTTTCTCTTTCTCTTGCACTCTCATTTTCTCTTCTCTCTCATTCTATCTCTCTTTGTCTCTCTTCCTCTCTCTCTCTCGCTCTCTCTTTTCTCATCTCTTCCTTTCGCTCTTTCACTCTCTCTTCTCTCCCACTTTGTCTCTCTTTCTCTCTTCCGCTCTCTATTTCTCTCGCTCCCTCGTTTTCTCTTCTCTCTCTCTCTCTTTTGATCTCTCATTCTCCCTCCCTCTTTTTCTCTACTCTCTTTCCCTCTCGCTCTTTTCCCCTCTCTTTCTTTCGTTCTCTCTTAATTCCTCTTCTCTCCCACTTTCACTCTTTCTTCCTCTCTCTTTACCTTTCTCTCTCTCGCTCTCCCTGTCTCTCTCTTATTCCCTCTCAGTTTCTCTTGCTCTCTTTTTCTCTCTCTCTCTCTCTCCTTCATTCTCCCTCTCTCTTTGTCGCTCCCGCTTTCTCTCTCTCTCTCTCTCTCTCTCGTTCTCTCTCTTTCTCGCTCCTGCATTCTCTCTCTTCTCTCCCTCTTTCTCTCTTTCTCTCTTTCTCCCTCTCTGTCGACCGTTATCTCCTGTAGCAGAGGAAATAGCAATTTCTCGTTAGCACGTGAACCGAGCGATGCTCTATTTTCTGCAACAAGCGCTATACCGGGACAAAGCAGTTTAGAGTTTCTCGTTGATCCGTCATCGTGTTCAAAATATTTAAGTGTATACGATCGCCTCCGTTAGTAAAGACACAATTGTCTATTTAATTTGATGGATCTTTTAAGTAATTTCACTCATAGTATTGACTGTATTGTTATAATTAAAAAACGAAATTTACGTAGGTCTTTTTAATTCGTATTCGTGGTTATGGTATTTAGCTTGATTCTTATTTCGGTAATAGACACACAGTTCTAAGAAGAAATTACACTGATAGAAATTA